CCGAATGTTTGAAACGGAGGTTACCGAAGATACCGTACAGGCCGCGACAAATTCCGTTCACATGACGGCCGCAATAGATACCGTAGACCTGGCGAACACTACCGACGAATGGTACCGGAAAAGATACAAAGAAGTTTTGGCGACCCCCGAAAAATACACGCAATGGAAAGTGATTGAGGAGCGATTATACTTTCTCAGGCCGAAACGCGTAGTTTCCGAAATCGTGGAAGACTTAGACCGATGGAAGTTAGTGATACCGAAAGAATACCGAAGGGAAGTATTAAAAGAGTCGCACGATATGCCACAGGCAGGCCACTTGGGTACCGAGAAAACTTACCAGCGTATTGCCGTTTCCTATTTCTGGCCGAATTTATTTCGCGAAGTTACCGAATACATCCGACAATGTGATACCTGCCAGCGAACGAAAGTAGAACAGGCAAGCCCCGCGGGTCTTATGGGACGTCGTATCGCGGATGGGCCATGGACGGAAATAGCGGCCGACATTATAGGCCCGTTATCGCGAAGTAAGGCTGGGTTCCAATATCTCTTGGTAATCCAAGACCTTTTTACAAAATGGGTGGAATGTAAACCCTTAAGAGCCGCGACAGGTCCGAAAATTAGTGAGGCTATAGACGACCTAGTGATATCGCGATGGGGAGCTCCTAAATTTCTGTTAACGGATAACGGTACCGAGTTTATTAACAAGGTTATGAAGGCGTTCGCTGACGATCGACAGATTACACACACTACCGTACCTCCATACCATCCCCAGGCCAATCCCGTAGAACGCGTAAACCGCATCCTAAAAACGATGATTATCGCGTTCATCGAAAAGGATCACAGGGAGTGGGATGAACACATCGCGGATTTCCGGTTCGCGTACAATACCGCCTGTCATTCCTCTTTAGGAGCATCTCCCGCTTTCCTGAACCTCGGGCGTGAATTAGAGCCAGTACATTCAGTGAAACGCAGTCAGGGGGTTACCGAGATCGAACCGGGGGATACCGCAAGATGGGCAGCCCGTATGAAGGACATGCAAGTCCTGAGGGAATGGGTTATCGAAAACTTAGACAGAGCTTACGAGAAACAGGCTTCGCGATACAATTTACGTAGGCGTGATCACACGTTCACGGTAGGAGATCTGGTGTTGAGACGCCAACATATTTTGTCGTCGGCGGCTCAGAATATAGCCGCAAAATTAGCACACAAGTTCCAGGGCCCGTTTAAAGTAGTGCGGGTGATCTCTCCAGTCGTATATGAATTGGGATTCCTGGATGGGTCACCCGCCGGCAAAAGTCACATACAAGACTTGAAGCCTTACCGTCTGCCCGATACCGTTTAGATGCCGAGAAACGTAATAGACCGACGTGAGATGAGGAGGATCTGGCGGGCCTTCTGGTCGCGTCACAGATCCGTCTGGGAGCACATTGAATTTAACGATGAGGGCTTCTGGACGGATCTGGAGGACGTGGCCCACCAGGTCAGAGAGGCCCGCTGGACGACGGACGGGGCAGTGGTTAGGGAGTGGCCATCCTCCCGGAGCACCTCGGTGCAAACCACGTCCGACCAGGGGGTAGCGAGGGGGACCCAGACGGACGCCCCCGAGCCCCACACGGAGTCCGCGCCACGGGAAAGGACCCGATCTCTGGAGCGTGCCGTGGAGCCGGGTGCGGAGCAACGCCGCGCCACCTCATCTGGGAGGCCTCGTCGCCCGGAGCGCCCGACGCGAGACGCACCCTACGCTGTGGGGTGCTGGAACTGCGGCTCACAGCAGCACTCTTACGCGCGTTGCCCCTTGCCCCGCACGGGTAGCTTTTGCTACGGGTGCGGGCACCGGGGGGTAACGCTGTGGGATTGCGACCGCTGTGGAGCCGCCTACCGCCACAGCACCCCGTACTCGGCGTCGCGGGGACCGCGAGCGCTGCCGCCAACATCACCGCCAGTGCGGGATCATTCGCCCCTTCGGGATGGGTGGCCCTGGAAGAGGGACGTGGGGGCCGACTGATCGGAGGAATCCCGCCTCCGCTAAAGACTGTTGTGTTTTTTTGCTTATTTTTTTTTAGTTTCTTTTCTTTTTTTATTTTTTTAGTATTACGTTTTTAGTTTTTTTGTTCTTTAGTATAGTTCCTAGGTTTAGTTTCGTTTTTTTCTTTTTCTCCTTTTGTTGTTTGCGCTACCGTATCGGAAAAATTTTTTTTTGTTGTTATTGTTCTCTCGATTGCGACGTTCCGTTTTCTTTTTTTTTTTTATATATCCAGTTTTTTTTTTGTCTTAATTTTGTTAAAGAAGGTCGGTCCGAAGGAGGATCGGAATAAATAAGCTTACTTTGACTCAAAGTGCAATCAGTTTTCCCTACCGATCCCTAATCCCTTATCTCCTTATGGTGTTGAGAAGCGGAGATAACGGGCATAAGAAAGTACCGCGGGGGAAGGACGCGATGGCTGAAATCGAGTCGCGATTTTACCAGACATGGTAATGGACCACGAACGGTCGGGCTACGGACACCTCAAGGAAACCCGAGGGGTTAAGTAGTCGTCTTATCACGAACATGGAAGTATAGCTACCGGAGCGACGGTCGTCGGTGTGCCGGGTCCTGAGGTCCCCTCGGCACCCGTCTGGGAAGGGGGAGTTGTGACGTGACGCTTTTTGAGTTCCGTCACGGTTTCCCTGCCGAGGAAAACAGCGTGCGCGGGGTCGTCTCTCGCGCCTGAGAGGGGACTACCGTTGGTTATTATTCAATTGTTTAGCCCTATTTTTTAGCGAAATTGAAGACCCGCGATTCGAATACGGCTACCGTGCGTGCGTGCAAGATCGACAAGTTGTAAAGGAAGCTACCGCTAGACATCGAGGATACCGAAGATACCGAGGATACCGAGAATACCGAGGATAACACAGGAATAAGGTCAAGTAGTAAGATCCCGCGCTACCGCGCGTTATAATGTAATTGGAGGTTGAATCTGCATTATTTCAGATTGTAAAAGAAACGGCAGCAAATACAGACAACGGTGATGAAGGCAACTTTCCAGGCAGCTGACTGGAAAAACAGAAATCTCGGAAGGAGACGCGGAGACGGCCTGGCCAGCCGGCCACGTCCCCGAGAATCGGCATCACTAATTACCGTCGTTCACAAGTACTGGGCCCCTGTGTAAGGGCAACGCCGTACAACAGCAGCAACGTTCGAGGGGGCGGAGAATCAACCCCGTTTCCCCGAAATCGACAAGATGCGCGGAGGATCGGCGCGGGATTCGAGGGCCTTACGAGCACAGACGAAGATCGACACTGTGTGGTGAGCTAGTGACCAGTGCACAGCAACCAATATTCGGAAGAGACGACCCTGAGGGAGCCGCCGCCAACACTAATTGTAAGCCGTCGCACAGGTAGCCGACTAGAAAAATTACTCCGGGATCAGCTGGTGTCATCGTATCGAGATACCGTCACCGGGCGGCTATCGTACCGTAAAGAAAAATTACCGAGAAGTTGAAAACTTGTACCGTAATTATCGGACGCCAGCTGTCACCGGGGTCGCGGAATTGTCCCTCTCAGGGGTGTTCGTGCCGACAGTCCGTGGTCTTATGTATCGTTTCCGTACCGTTTAGAATTGTATCGTTTCTGCTAACATTTTTCTTGTATCGATATTCCGAGCGTGACGCGGCGATTTTTGATCGAGTATATCGCATACCGGAAGACGGGATTTGAGCGAGTAATTTCTTCGCGAGCGAGTGTTACCGAAATTAAGAGAACGGCTCTGCAAGAATATTGCCTCACGCGAAATCTCCGCCGAAAAGTATTTAACGCATCACTTGTTCGAAATTGCCGTTACGCGGACGTCGTGCTATTGTTAACGAAACGAAAGGTCGTGCTGCGACCGTTACATCGGGTAAACAATTTCCGTCTATCTCCTTGAAACTACCGTTAGAGAAAGCTTTTGTTTTTTTATCAAGACTTTGTCGAAAGTCCTCGTTAATTGCCGTAAGAAAAGGTTCGATTCGAGTTATATCGAACTTTCACAAAATCCGTATACCGTCTATTCCGGGTTAAAATTCCGTTTATTTCATAGTTATCTATTGTTCCTTACCGTTAATTGTCGTTGAGCGTAGAAGTTACCGTCATTGTATGAAAATTCAGGTTCGATTTATATCGATATTGCGCACGAGGCTCGCGCCTCCAGGAGTGTTCGTAAACCATCCGCGTATAATCATCTGTTCGTAAAATCCCCGTACACTCTGGTTACCGCTAATTACGTGGATTACCGCCAATAAACTAGTTGAGAATTATACCGAAATCTGTTAGCGAGACGAACTTCTCGGCGTACGAGCCGAAATCAGCCGTAATTCGTTCTCGAGTTTGGTAGAGACTTCGCCGCTAAGGTTCACGGCCTTCGATTATCGTCATTATTGAAAGGCTAAAACTATTTTCAATACCGTTTTTTTTCCCTTTTCTTTTATTGCCGACTCAAAGTTAATATTTCAAGTAACCTCTCTGAGAGTATTGTATCTGATCTTCGCATCAGCCGTTATAACGTGTCCATTGTTTCCGCAATTTATAAGATAACCGTTATATTTCGAAATTTGTCTGCTTTCTTTTATTATTTTATCTGGTGCCTTGCGTTCCTGTATATTTACCGGTATATTTACCGATTTTCTCGCTATTATATTAAATTTATCGCTATTCTATTAAATTTATCGTTATTATATTAACTTTATCGCTATTATATTAAATTTTATCTACATTATATTAAAGTCAACTATATTGTTCGTTGTGTGTATATTCTAACATTCCAATATATGTAATTAATTGTGAACAAAATAACTGAGTAGTCATTTCTCTCTCCCAACGATAATCTAGCGCTCTCTCTCCCTTACGATAAATACTTCGCAAAGAACTCTGCCCCTCTGCCATAAACTAAGCTTGCCGTTACCGTTTCGATATCGTGGCGCGGAAATACCGCGCCTGGCGCCCATATTCTATCTCCTTTTTGTTGGAGAGTCTGTTACCGTACTTTACCGCCATTTTAAGATACCGTACCGCCATTTTGAGATCCCGATACCGCCAATTACCGACACTGCCAAATTTGCACGCCACCTCCTCGGGAGCGGCGTTCCCTTATAGGTTGCCGGTGCTCCCGTAAGTCCGTACGGCATTCGCGTAAAATGGAAAAGTCCCTTCCCTGGGACACTAAATGCGGTAATCTCCCGACTTTCTTTAGCTAACGGTATCTGGAAGTAGGCTTGACTCAGATCAATGGTCGATATATAGCGAGCCGAACGTAATTTGTCGAGAATGCCATTTATATTCGGTAACGGATATGCGTCTTTTTTAGATACGTCATTTACTTTTCGGAAGTCTAAGCAAAAGCGGTACTTTCCGTTAGGTTTTTTCACCATTACGATGGGGTTCGACCATTCGCTATAAGACGGTTCGATGATCCCTGCCTGGAGCATTTTATCAGTCTCCGCACGTATGGCTTCCTGAACCTTAGGCGATACGAGGTAACAACGCTGTTTAATGGGTGGGCTGTCCCCCACGTCTATCTTATGTTCGGTAAGCGTGGTCACACCGGGGTTATCTGATGTTTGCGGTAACGTCCGTAAAAAAAAATCTAAAGTCTTTTCTTGTGCGGGAGTTAATTCCGATATCCCGCAACAAGAGCTCTCATTTGGATCTACTTCGGTAACTAAGCGGTATTTCTTGTGTGGCGATTCGGCAAAATACCATCCGTTAGTGGCAAAGTCTAATGTTACTCCAAATTTCGTAAGAAAGTCTAATCCCAGAATACACGGAACTGCTAAATTCGGTAACAACGCAACGGTAATTTCGCGACACTGATCCTCCAGTTCTAACGGTACCTTAATCTCTTCCCTTATATTTGCGATTTGTCCATTCGCTGTTCTGTTTTGTATCCCCCTGCCCCTCTCGGTATCCAGTCCCAATTCACGGATAATCTTTATTCCTTCGCGGCCCAGTAGGGTTCGATTGGACCCCGAGTCCACGAGGGCCGCGAGAGTGTAATCGTATATTTTAATTTTGAAGAATTTCAGTGACGGTAGCTCCTCCCTCCCCAGGGTGACATACGACTGCAGTAGCGTATCGTCCCCTACGGTATCGTCGGCGGTAACTAGGGTCTCGCCTTCGGGACTCGGAGTCGTAGGGACCCTCTCTACTGGCTCCGATTCTCGTTTCCCGAGCATGTCGGGCAGGTTTGTACGGTTGCATCGCGCCTCCCGCAGCGGTAACAATATTTCCGGCGCGGCTCAGTACATCCGCGCGCGCGATGTCCTGTCTTCTCGCAATTCCAGCATTTTATGTTGCTGGCGGAATTGGGGATAACGGTAGCACTCGTCGATGATTCGGTAGCGGCAGCGGCAGCCATAGCGGTAGCGGTAGCGGTACCGGTATCGGTAGTTGCGGTATTCACGTTCGGGGTTTTAGCGGCTTTCTTCTTCTCTTTCCTTTTAGCGGTAACATTAGCGGTAGCGACGGTAGCGGCGTTTTTATTTTTATTCTTCGGTGCGTGATATGCCAAATCCGGAAAGAGGGATTGTTCCGGCGGTAACGGGGGTCGGTAGTGTTTTTCGGCTTGCAGGCTTCTCTCCATGCGCGTGGCTAGGTTTTCGAGAGTCGCGAAGTCTCTAAACTCCTGCCGTCGAATCGCTATTTGCATCCGCGGTAGCATGTTCCGGTGTGCAAAGTTCAACTGTTCTTCCAAGGCCCAGGGTGGCGACATTCGGCTAAGTAAGGCCCTTAGGCAGGTTAAATAGTCGGCCGCGATTTCATACTCCCCCTGCGTTCGCCTGAATATTTCGTCGCGAAGCGCGTACTGGTAATCGGGATCCCCGAATCGCCCCATCCATGCTGCTTCAAAATCATTCCAATCCCGCCAATTTCCGCTCTCCAACCGTACCCAGTACAGCGCGACCTCCGATAAAAACAGCGGCAAACACTTGAAAAGGTCCGCGTCGGAAATGGGGACTATCGCGCGTGCTTCCTGGATTCTCAGCTAACAGGAAGGCTTCCGCGTCGTTACCCCGTTTTCCCGAGAAATGGAGGTTCCATTTCCTCATTACATTATAAGCCTCCGCCGTTGAGGCCCTCCCCGGACGGGAACTGGCGTGCGGCGCGGCCGCAGGTTCGCGTTGGGGTGGACGGTATCCGGTATTTCCCCCCGCGATTTCGTCCAATTTCACCTCTGGCCCCCCCAAGGGGGGTGTGCCCCGTAGATCGGGCGGGTCGCCCTCCCCTAAGAGGTCTCGCGCCCTCGCACCACCTTGACCCTCTGCGGACATCGTGTCCTCTTCCTCTTCTGTTTCCCCGCTCCCGCGCGTTTCGTACCTGAGGAGCCGTGCCCGTAAAACCGGCAATATCCCCTGGGCACTCAGGCCCCGATCTAACAAGTGGCGACGCGCTTGACCGACGCTTAATCCCTGTATCCACTGATGGAGATCGCTATCCTTCCTCATAGGGCTAACGAGAGACTTACCGATTAGCGAAAATTACCACGGTAGTAATAATATACTAAAAAAAAAATGAAAAGATCGCGATACCCAAGGAATAAATTCAAAATCGAAAACGGTACGGAAACGAAACCGAAATAATACAACAAAAAAAAAATTATTTACAATTGAAACAACACGGCAGAAGTATAGAAATAAAAAAAACAATAAAAACAATACAGGGTGTCCCATTTTAATGTCCCACCCCAAATAACTTTCTTATTTTTAATTTTAGAAAAAGATATTTCAGACAAAAGTTGTATGGCTTGAAGGGGGACGTAAGGTGGTGCCATTAATTTGACCTTGAGGAGTCACCTGAAGGACACGCGAAGGTCACCTCCAACTTTTTAAATGGGATACCCTATATACTTTTACATATTCTTGTAGCTTGCCTCAATAGCTTTCCAAAACATTGTAATAAAGTATTTTTTCATTGAGTACTTTTCTAATTATGAGGCTTGCAATAATTTTTTTAATTTTACATAAATCGTAAAATATCTTGTAAAATTTCATTTTTCGATTATCTTACCTTAATACTTTTATGTACAAAATAATGAGAGAAATCAATTGGTGTAAAAAAAACGTACAGTTGTTTTGCAGAAAAATATGGAATTTGTAATTAACAATTCCATATTTTTTCTTAAAAATAACTGTACTTTTTCTTTACACCAGTGCTGGGATTTACTTGCAACTTTCGGCCGAATTTCTTAGCTTACGCCTACTGTTTTCCCCTTACCGCTCGCGCCGCTCGTAACTAAGAAGCGCTCAGGAACGTGTGTGTCACAAATGTAATGTGGCAATCTATCTATCTAAATTCTCTTATTGTAATTACGATTCAAAACACAAATATTTTAAATTATTACAGAACATATACGTAATTAATAATAGAATACTTATTTTTATTATTAATAAACAATAAAGAGAACTTAGATAAATTGTCACATAACATTTGTAACGCGCACGTTCCTGATCACTCCTTAGTTACGAGCGTCCGGTGGCGCGGTCGCTAAGGAGCGAGCAGTAAGAGGGGAACAGTAGGCGTAAGCTAAGAAATCTGGCCGAAAGTTGCAAGTAAATCCCAGCACTGCTTTACACCAATTGATTCCTCTCATTATTTTGTACATAAAAGTATTAAGGTAAGATAATCGAAAAATGAATATTTTACAAGATATTTTATGGTTTATGTAAAATTAAGAAATGACTTCAAGCCTCATAACTCAAAAAATACTTGATGATAAAATGTTTATTTATAGTGTTTTGGAAAGCTCTCGAGATAAGCTACAAGAATATGCAAAAATATATAGGGTGTTCCATTTAAGAAATTCAAAATGACCTTCATGTAACCTTCATATGACTCTTCAAGGTCAAACTAATGACACCACCTTATGACCCCCTTGAAACCATATAACTTTTGTCTGAAACATTTTTTTCTAAAATTAAAAATAAGAAAGTTATTTGAAGTGGGGCATTAAAATGGGACACCCTGTATAAGAGCCCGAAGGAACAAAGAAAAAAAATTAAAAAATCAAAATAATGTTTCGAAATCGAAACGGTACGGTAGCGAAAGGAGATTCAAAATAATATAGGTGACGGGGAGAAAACAAAAAGTCAAAAGTTAGACAATACGGCAGCAGAAAAAGAAATTCAAAAAAAAAAAAATCAAAATAAATAATAGCGGAACAAGAAATTCAAAAATCAAAACAAAATATGGTAGAAAGAAAAGATAGAAAAAAAAACTAATAATACTAAGGACAACGGTACAGAAAGAAAAACAAAATTCAAAAGTTTAAACGGTATCAGAAACACGAAAAGTCTAAAGATCTTAACGGTAAAAAAAAAATGAAAATCAAAATAAATGATAGAGAGAAAAAAAAATACAACTAAACAAAAATCGAAATAACGGTAGCAGAGGAAAAGAAAGTTGAACAGGGGATCAAAACAATGCGGTAACGGAAAAGGTAAAAAAAAATAATAATAATAATACAGTCAAAGGAACGAAAGGAACAGAGAAGAGAAAAAAAAAAATAATGATAATGAAACAAAATTCAAAAATTCAAAAGTCAAAACAAGTCTCTCTCGCTGTCGACGGAGGAAGGTGTCTTTCCGGAGACGGTCTCAAAAAAAAATTATTAGTAATTCGTCCTCTTTGATTCCTAACCAAGAGCCACTAACGGAATTAATAAAAAAAAATTTTGAATTCTCACCACACAAGATTATCGATATAACGGTAAAATAATAATAAAAATCGAATTTTCGGTAGCGTCAAGAACGATAAACGAACGGTAGGCGGCCTAAATTCACAAAGGAAAAAAAAAATAAATCCTCGACAGTTGTATATAATATTCAGTAGTTTTGATACTTTTTAAGACGCGAAGCACACAAATTCCAGGCCGCTTTAGGGCCTTCAATAAGTCTTAACTTACCCCAACCAGACGGTACGTTTGATACGGGACACCAGAAAAGCAAAAAAAACTCACTGCAAAAATTTTTAACGGCACAAGTACAATAATAAAACCACACCACTGAACAAACGATTTTTCGGCTTAAGAAAGCCAACGAAAAACGATTCCTTTTTCTCTCTCTCTCTAGCTCTCTTCCAAAAAAGGAAAAAAAAAATCCACTATCTTATTCGATTTTATACGGTATCTTCACACGGCGTCGGGCCCCACGTTGGGCGCCAAAATCTTTGCGACGCCGTCGCCCGCCTCGGGAACGCCGCTCCCGAGGAGGTGGCGTGCAAATTTGGCGGTGTCGGTAATTGGCGGTATCGGGATCTCAAAATGGCGGTATGGTATCTTAAAATGGCGGTAAAGTACGGTAACAGACTCTCCAACAAAAAGGAGATAGAATATGGGCGCCAGGCGCGGTATTTCCGCGCCACGATATCGAAACGGTAACGGCAAGCTCAGTTTATGGCAGAGGGGCAGAGTTCTTTGCGAAGTATTTATCGTAAGGGAGAGAGAGCGCTAGATTATCGTTGGGAGAGAGAAATGACTACTCAGTTATTTTGTTCACAATTAATTACATATATTGGAATGTTAGAATATACACACAACGAACAATATAGTTGACTTTAATATAATGTAGATAAAATTTAATATAATAGCGATAAAGTTAATATAATAACGATAAATTTAATAGAATAGCGATAAATTTAATATAATAGCGAGAAAATCGGTAAATATACCGGTAAATATACAGGAACGCAAGGCACCAGATAAAATAATAAAAGAAAGCAGACAAATTTCGAAATATAACGGTTATCTTATAAATTGCGGAAACAATGGACACGTTATAACGGCTGATGCGAAGATCAGATACAATACTCTCAGAGAGGTTACTTGAAATATTAACTCTGAGTCGGCAATAAAAGAAAAGGGAAAAAAAACGGTATTGAAAATAGTTTTAGCCTTTCAATAATGACGGTAATCGAAGGCCGTGAACCTTAGCGGCGAAGTCTCTACCAAACTCGAGAACGAATTACGGCTGATTTCGGCTCGTACGCCGAGAAGTTCGTCTCGCTAACAGATTTCGGTATAATTCTCAACTAGTTTATTGGCGGTAATCCACGTAATTAGCGGTAACCAGAGTGTACGGGGATTTTACGAACAGATGATTATACACGGATGGTTTACGAACACTCCTGGAGGCGCGAGCCTCGTGCGCAATATCGATATAAATCGAACCTGAATTTTCATACAATGACGGTAACTTCTACGCTCAACGACAATTAACGGTAAGGAACAATAGATAACTATGAAATAAACGGAATTTTAACCCGGAATAGACGGTATACGGATTTTGTGAAAGTTCGATATAACTCGAATCGAACCTTTTCTTACGGCAATTAACGAGGACTTTCGACAAAGTCTTGATAAAAAAACAAAAGCTTTCTCTAACGGTAGTTTCAAGGAGATAGACGGAAATTGTTTACCCGATGTAACGGTCGCAGCACGACCTTTCGTTTCGTTAACAATAGCACGACGTCCGCGTAACGGCAATTTCGAACAAGTGATGCGTTAAATACTTTTCGGCGGAGATTTCGCGTGAGGCAATATTCTTGCAGAGCCGTTCTCTTAATTTCGGTAACACTCGCTCGCGAAGAAATTACTCGCTCAAATCCCGTCTTCCGGTATGCGATATACTCGATCAAAAATCGCCGCGTCACGCTCGGAATATCGATACAAGAAAAATGTTAGCAGAAACGATACAATTCTAAACGGTACGGAAACGATACATAAGACCACGGACTGTCGGCACGAACACCCCTGAGAGGGACAATTCCGCGACCCCGGTGACAGCTGGCGTCCGATAATTACGGTACAAGTTTTCAACTTCTCGGTAATTTTTCTTTACGGTACGATAGCCGCCCGGTGACGGTATCTCGATACGATGACACCAGCTGATCCCGGAGTAATTTTTCTAGTCGGCTACCTGTGCGACGGCTTACAATTAGTGTTGGCGGCGGCTCCCTCAGGGTCGTCTCTTCCGAATATTGGTTGCTGTGCACTGGTCACTAGCTCACCACACAGTGTCGATCTTCGTCTGTGCTCGTAAGGCCCTCGAATCCCGCGCCGATCCTCCGCGCATCTTGTCGATTTCGGGGAAACGGGGTTGATTCTCCGCCCCCTCGAACGTTGCTGCTGTTGTACGGCGTTGCCCTTACACAGGGGCCCAGTACTTGTGAACGACGGTAATTAGTGATGCCGATTCTCGGGGACGTGGCCGGCTGGCCAGGCCGTCTCCGCGTCTCCTTCCGAGATTTCTGTTTTTCCAGTCAGCTGCCTGGAAAGTTGCCTTCATCACCGTTGTCTGTATTTGCTGCCGTTTCTTTTACAATCTGAAATAATGCAGATTCAACCTCCAATTACATTATAACGCGCGGTGGCGCGGGATCTTACTACTTGACCTTATTCCTGTGTTATCCTCGGTATCCTCGGTATCCTCGGTATCTTCGGTATCCTCGATGTCTAGCGGTAGCTTCCTTTACAACTTGTCGATCTTGCACGCACGCACGGTAGCCGTATTCGAATCGCGGGTCTTCAATTTCGCTAAAAAATAGGGCTAAACAATTGAATAATAACCAACGGTAGTCCCCTCTCAGGCGCGAGAGACGACCCCGCGCACGCTGTTTTCCTCGGCAGGGAAACCGTGACGGAGCTCAAAAAGCGTCACGTCACATTATATTCATGTTTTTTTAATCCTTTTTTCAGAATACAAGCCAGGCGGAATCAATGCCGACACAAGCATTGTCGGCGTCGGAATCGCCATCGACGGAGGTTCCGACGCCGATGGCGGATCCGACGCCGACGTCGGTGGAGATCCCGGCGTCGACGGAGGTTCCGACGCCGATAGCGGATCCGACGCCGATGGCGGATCCGACGCCGATGGCGGATCCGACGCCGATGGCGGATCCGACGCTGACAGTGGTTCCGACGCCGATGGAGATCCCGGCGTCGACGGAAGTTCCGACGCCGACAAGAATGATAACATTAAGTGTAAGTTTAATTTTATAAAAATATTAAATTAATAGTTCTTTAGTTAGATTCTTTAGCTAATTTGGAGATGATTTTCTTGATGAAAATGTCGAAAAAGTTAAATTTCTACAAGTTTTTAATTTTTGTCATTAATATCTTATTAAATTAAATTTTAGCAAAATAAACTCTATGTAAAATTAAGAATGAAGATATAGTTTTATTAATCTTTTAAATTTCACAAAGTATAATTACAAAAAGTTCTTTTTAATTATTTATAATTCGGAGATTATATTTCATTTTCGCTAGGGAAAAATTGTCTCCTGATTAAAAAATCTATTATTTTAATAAATAAAAAATGCTAAGTTATTTTGGAACTATATATATTTACAAATATACGTAGAAATATTGTTGAATTAAAAATAATATTATATTGCTATTCACACACAATATAATAACAATGTATATATAAAAATAAAAATATTAAAATAAATTCTAATAATAATATTATATAAATTCTTAGCACAAATGTATAGCCAAAAATAATTTTTAATCAGACAAAATGTTTCTTCTATATTTTTGGATGCTGAAAATGATGCTACAAACCAATTTTTATCAACCACATCAGGTTTCCGATATAATAGAGGTGTGATATTCCAAAATATGACTTTTTTGCAATATTTCAGATTTCTTATAAAATGTTAACATTTTCTGAAAATTTGGATCAGATGTTATGAATGTATTGTTTATTTTATATAAAGTTCATTTTTTAAATTTTACTTTGTAGCCATGTTATGAAAAATTAATTAAGAACTGGGAACTACTCCAGGAGTAGTCTACTCATGTGGAGCGTCCGTCTCCATATGAAAAGTAGTTTCAAATTTTAATATTTCATAATATGACTAACAAGTAAGATATCGAAATTTTAAAAATACATTCTATAGAGGAAAAACAATACACATGACATCTGATCAGAATTTTCAGATAATGTTAATATTTTTTACAAAAAAAAACCTTTAATGTTGCAAAAAAGCCGTTTTTTACATATTAAACCTGAAATTATTTCGGAAACCTGATTTCACGTACTGCTGAATATTAGTTTGCGGCATTCAAAATGTATAAGAAATATCTTGTCTTGTTTAAAATTGTTTTTGCCTGTAAATTAGTGTATTATTAGTATTTATTTTAATATTTTTGTTTATATATATGTTATTATAATATGTATGCTCTGTCTTATGTTTTTCATATATACTTTTTGTTTTAGACTGAAGAACTAAATAATATTATAACAAGAGCTATTTCTTCTGTGAGAGGACGGGGAGGACGAGGAGGACAGAGAGGACGGAGAGGACAGAGAGGAGCAAGAGGACAAAGAGGAGGAAGAGGAAGAGGACGGCAACGAGGCAGGGGCAAAGAGGGAATAAATATATATATATATAAATAACCAAAACAAATAACATTCTATGTATATGTCATATCAACATAAATAATAAAATAATATAAAGAAAAGAAAATCATAATTTACGTTATTTAATTTCGTATTTTAATATATTTGTTTGCATATTGTTTGCGTCTTTTTTTTGGTAATATATTTTATAATTTGATCAATAATTTTAGACAAAAATAAAACTTTTTAAAAAAAATTTTTTATACACTTTTGTTTTACACATTTTAAGTTAATAGATTTTTGCATCAGTAAGAAATAAAGTACGCGATAATATCAAAATTTTGGAAACATTTTTCCTGTTATCTTCAAACATTATACATAAAAATATGAGAAAAATATATATATTAGCGTCAGTCAAATGCATTTAAATGTCTTGTCATATAATTTATGATCTCCAAAGTACAGCCATTGGCAAGCGTATAAAAAATCAAGAGAGAAGCATATATTTTGTTACATTTGTTTATTTTTTATTCATTTTTTTATTTTTAACTTGATGTTTTATTCTAAGCCTTGTCACACGCATGTCTGCAATTATAAAGTTATACACAATTATTTAAGTATAAATTAAATATTTCTTTTAGAATACATACGCGCATTATATTTATACGTGTGTATATATAATAATTAAATCAGGATTCATTGATGTTTTTAATTAATAGAATTGTAATTAGATAAATTAATTAATATTTTTTTTATCGTAGAAAGAATGTACCAAGTAATCGATAATATAGAAAAATAATTCATGATATTTCGTTAGTATATTTTTAATTAAAATTCATGAATGTGATCTGTTATCAATGCATTAAATGTTCTTTTAAAACCTAATGAGCCCCTAATGGATACATTTCCATATATTCCTAATATATTTCAATCCAACAATGAAATTTGCAACACATGAAATTAATAAATGATAACAATTGCAAGACGAAATAGCGCTGTAAAACGTTCTCCTAAATATTAAAACACAATACATTTTTAACGTATTATAATATATTTTAGGAATTTAGATCTTTTTCTGAATATATAAATGTTTTGATCATGGATCAAAATATAGATGCTTGCATTTTTAATTTGCATTTCGCAGAGATTATGAGTTTTTGTGTACCTATTAATTTTATCCTTTTTCAAAATGAAAGAAGTGTAACTATTAAATAGAACTTCATATTTTTAAATTAATATTCTAAAAATGCGCGTTATATTCATGCGGAAACGGACATATAATAAATTTTTATTTTATTATATATAGAATAAAGCTTTATTTTAACTCAGAAATGTCTTTTTTTACTAATTAATCCTTTACAAATTGTTACTCCTCTCTTAAAACTTTGTAACAGATTTACATAGCTGTTTAATTTTATATATTTCAAATATATATTTAATTTTTTAAATTTTCTTTATCTTATATTTCTACTAATGTATAAAAAAATAAAACACAAGAAGCAAATTACGATATCAATTATTAGACATAGCAATATTTGCATTGGTAAAACATTAACTAAACAAACATTGATCATAAAAATTGGAGATATATACATATTGTTAAGCTATTAAATAAACTTATATTTATTTAATGCTTAACTCATTATTTTCATTATTAAGTACAACACTTATTTTTATATACGTATATCTTAATAAAATTTATTTATTAAAGTTTTTTAAAGTAAAGTAATGTTATTACATGTTTAATTACATTATTATTATATGTTTAATTACAAGCTTTATATGCACTTTCTCATTGAAATTAACAATTTATTTAAGTTATTATGTTGTATGATATAGACAGAGTATACATATGTAACCATACAATTTTTAAATTTTTTAATTTATTTCTGTTGAAGGAAATCCTAAATTGGAAAAATGGACGCTCAATTCAATTCGACGTGCGGGATTGTGCGAAGATCATTTTCTTCAAAATTCCTTTACAAATACAAGAGGGTTAAAACGCAGTGCAGTGCCAATTCCTTTCGAGTCTCGAAATATAAACGTAAGTAACGAACACAATGTATGAATTGATAGAATCTCATAATATAAATAAAAATAATGAAAATAAGAAAAGAAAAAGCATGATAATGGAACAAGTGCTTCACTTAGAAGAAGCCCAAAAACAAAGTATGAACAATATTGCATCGACGTCTACTACACCATTTACGTCTACTGTTATTAATCTTAATGAAAATGTAATGGACGAGCATGCAGAATCACAGTTTATTGAACAACGAACAAATTCATTGCGATGCTATCAGCCACGACATTTAAATTTTAATTCTTCTATAGACAATGACGATTTAATGGAATGGATGCACATTGAGCCTATATATGAAAAAGTCCTTACGCCTCCTTCGTTTAATAATAATAATAATAATGATGATGATAATAATAATAATAATAATAATAATAATAATAATAATAATAATAATAACAACAATACAAATATTATGGAATCTATGTATCTTGAACCATCGATGTATGAAAGAGTCCCGCCTCCTCCGTGTAATAATAAAAGAAATATTAAAAATAGAACAGAAACTAATACAAAAGATGAAATAATACATAAGCTATATGCTAAAGTTAAATCTCTAAGATCTGAAAATATACGATTGCGAGGGCAAATAAGAAAGCTAAAATATCGCTTACATTATTTCACAAAAACGTAAAACGTCAAAAAAAGATAAACAAAAGAGAATAATAAATCCACAAAAACTTAAAACGTCAAAAAAAGATAAACAAAAGAGAATAATATTAAAAAAATTGATAGATGAACAAGATCTAAATCCTGTTGCAAAGGCAATGATAAATTTACAACTGCATATACCCAATACACCATATACAGAAGAAGAGAAAAATCTTTCAAGGCAATTATATTATTATTCAGCCGCTGCTTTCTGCCGCTTAAGAAAAGCAGGTTGCAATTTTCCCGGGCAGCGAACTATTAAAAGATGGCTGGAAGAATATGACGTACGGCCAGGATTTTGTGATTTTATATTTCAAAAATTAAAGGAAAAGATTTCTTATTTACCAATAGAGGAAAGAGTGTGTGCCTTAAAGTGGGACGAAATGGCCATAAAACCTTATGAAGAATATTCGCAAAAACTGGATGAAATAGAAGGTCTTATTGATCTTGGTCCTCTACGAAGAAAATCGGAAAGATCTAAATGCGTATTTGTCTTTTTCCTAGACAGTTTAAATGCACGTCGTCCATGGCGACAACCTTTAGCATATTTTCTCCCGGGAAAATGCATGAAAGCAGAAGAAATAATAATATTATTGAAAGAATGTTTAGACAAATTGAATGCAACAGGTGCTGATGTACAACTTCTAACATGTGATCAAGGCACATGTAATCAAAGCGCTTACGCTCAATTCGGCATTAATCCAGAAAATCCATTCTTTGTATATAATGGGAAAAAATATAATGCGTCATTCGATTTCCCACATTTAGTAAAAAGATTGCTAAGTTTTTTTAGAACTCATGAAAATCTTTACTGTGATGAAAAAATTATATCATATTCTGATTTCGAAACAACATGGTCTGTTGATAATGCCACAAAAGGAGGTTCTAATTTATTGTCTCATATTACAGAAGCGCACATTCATCCAAATACTTTTGAATCTATGAATGTGAAAAGAGCATTCCAAATATTGAGGCACACTTTTGCAGCTGCAATAAAAACAGCCGGTCATGGAAAACAATTACACACAATTACATGGCAAGCGACAGCTGATTTTGCAGAGCGCTTAAATAAAATTATTGATGCATGCAACGGTTACAGTATTAATATTTCAGTTGGCGGCAAACGACCACTATCGTCTAAAAATCCGGATATTGAAAATTTATTAATAGATTTCGTCGAATGGTGCTCAAGATGATCTAAGTTGGAAAAAAGCATAAGTCAAGTTCCTTGTTTTAAAGATTTTGTTGTGACAGTAAGAGCTATTCTTGAAACTTATAAAACACTTTCAACGCAATATGATGGATTTGAACTTGCGACCGGATTATGCAACCAAGACTCAGTGGAACATTTATTTTCGAAACTGAGACAACGCCGAGGATTTCATTCTAATCCAACTGCAAGAATGATCCGATTTTCTATCAGACACATACTTTCTACAGGATATATACAAACTAGTGATAAAGGCAATACTCAATGCCCAGAAAGTGAAGCTCTTATAAATGAACCAAGTCAACTTATAAAAAGGATCGAAAATATGAATATGAGCAATAACGTAATAGAATATAATGACTTCGAAGATGAAATGGTTCTTCAAAATGACATTATTCTTCTCGAAGAATTTAACATGGAAGAAGTTGAAAAAATGTCAACCCGCTTAATACATATGATGAAAATGCTGTCGCATATTTTGTTGGGTTTATCGCGCGACGAAGCATTCAAAAAAGCAACTGTGACCATTGTCGTAATGATATGATGAAAATTCTTATGGATGAATTGATGGAAAACGAAAAATATAAAGAATTTCGAGAATATGAAAATGAAGATGAAGATGCTCCAACAATAACAAAATTAGTACGCCCAACGACTTTATATACAAATATTACTAAAACACAATTGATGGCATTTAATCGCACGTGGCAATATCATTGGGCATCTACAAAAATTCTTGAGAAAATTGTAACTGAATGTGTGCATGCAACAAATAAAATACATTCTGAATGGTTAAATGAAAATGAAGCATGTTACGATCATCGGATGCAAGCATTAAAATATATGATTACAGTGAAATTATATTCTCGAACGAGATACAATAATCGTGCTGCAAAAAGAACTAATATATCTTCAAAAAAGAAAGTTAAAAGATTTTTAAACAAGTAAAAACTATATTACAATAAATCATTTTGAGCACCGTTAGAGATAAAGAAAAAAAGAGGAAAAAATATAATAAAAGAAAAATATATCAAATCAACAACAGTAAAATAAAAAAAGAAAGCAGGAATAAATATTTTAATATACGTGAAAAAAAATGAAACTAAACATGAAAATAAAAAATAACAATAAATAATAAAACAATATAGAACGCGAAAAATGCATTATTTTTTAAAATTATATTTGAATATTGCTTTCTTCTTTTTAATATTATATGTTTTTTTAATTTTTGTCATTTAGAAAAAATACTTATTGCGCCTTCGCACTATGATTGGATTCATTATCAAAAATGTTTGCAAATCATATAGTTTAGCGCAATGACTATTATATTCTATTAATGAGAAAAATACGCATGAATTTTTCAATTTCGTAAAAGATCGCAATCACAGTTGAAATAAATTGCATAAATCGTTATAACTAGCAAGTCTTATCACGATATAAACCAAGGTAAAAGCGGTCATGCTACGAAATTGTAAAATCATGCATTTTCTTATTATCAATGGCAATATAAGACATATTAATATTAATTAAGTTTTAAGAAAATATAATATAGAAATATATATATATATATATATATATTTGTATATATATATATATATATATGTATATATATTTGTATATATATATATATATATATATATATGTATATATATTTGTATATATATATATATATATATTTGTATATATATATATATATATGTTTGAAATTCATATTTCGCATGCATATCATCTCAGCTCATTATTACCGAAAACCGAGATTTTTCAAATTAACGGACGTCGAGAATCTTCTCGACGTTTCTATTTATAGAGAAAAAACCGATCGTTCGAGTTATCTCGATTTTATTGCCACCGCAAAAAACGCTTGTCTCTGCCGTTGACAATAACAGTGTCAACGGTCGCCGAAAACTGTACAGTTTACGGGCATGCGCGCCCATACGTCACGATCAGCTGATTACCAATCAGCTGATCTAAAAAGATCGCGCGCATGACAATTAACTCATTGTCAGCGGTAGACCTCATCAGCGGCCAATGACGCGCGGCGCCCTGAGGTCACCGCCAAAATACAAAGTTAATTGGGCCACGTCGATACGAGCCCAAAAATCTGCCCGGTATATAACGAGCACCGCGCGAGGACACGAAGAAGTCTCGCACTTTTCGCTCTCGCACTTTTCGCCAAACCGCACTTATCGCTTCGCAAACCGCAGTATTATTCGACCGCTTTTTTCACTCGGACTTTCCTCTCGATTACGGACTTGAACTAATTTTCGGCAATATTTCTCGAATTCTGAAATATATATATATTTGTGTAAAACTTTATTTATCGTGTGGTGTTGAAAATAAAACTCTCAAAAGTACAAAAAAATCATACGTGTCGTGGCTTGTTTTTTCTCAATTGTGCAGTGTCCGAGTCCAAGACCTTTTCTGTCGCGCCTATCGTTTCGAATAACTCATTCGCGAACATTTTCTGGTCCTTCGAGCCGGATATTTTATCCGCATCCGCAGTTCGTGGGTGAACTTTGTGACGTAGTGCGTGAATCTGAAACTGAAAAGTGATCATGAGTGCAGATCCAAAGGCGCTGTTGGAGGCGCAGAACGACATCCACGGACGAATGTCTCGCTCCGTGGACAATCTGCGCAAGATGGGCGTCTCGAGCATCACCGCCGAAGCGATTCAGGCTCGCCTCCGCATTCTCGACACGCTGTGGACCAGATTCGAGACCCATCATGACCTCATTGTAGCGGCGCTGAAAGACAAATATCTTGAGAGTGAGTACGCAAAGAATGATTTTATCGATATCGCGGAAACTACCTACGTGACACAAAGGAGCACGCTGGTCGAATACGCGCACAAACTCAAGGGCAAGTCGTCCACCACGCCCAAGGTCGAGGCTCACCAAGAGCAGACGCTCAAGACCTCGCTGCCGCGAATTAAGCTCCAGTCGTTCTCCGGTGCATACAGCGATTGGCCCGCGTTTCGCGACATCTTCTTGTCCATCGTCGGGAGCAATACATCCATTTCCGACGTGGAAAAGCTCCACTATCTCCGTACGAGCTTACAGGGTCCTGCGGAAAAACTAATTAGGGCCTTGTCGATTGTCGGGGGCAATTATGACAGGGCGTGGTCAATTTTAAGTTCTCACTACGAGAACAAGCGAGAGCTCATTCGCGCCAACTTCGCTGCCTACAATGAAGAACGCGACCGCTGACGAGTTGAACCGAATTTATAACGCCGCCACGACTGCCATCAATGCTCAGGAGAGCATTGAAAGGCCCATCGGCACGCACGGTATGGACCTCTTCAATTACCTGCTCGTCGAGCGCTTTGACACACAGACGCGAATGCAGTGGGAGTCCTCGATCCGCGATTCCGTCGACCCGCCAAGCAACGACGTCCTCATGGACTTCATAGCGAAGCAGATCCTCACGCTGAACGCCGTGCAACCAACCACTGCCGCGAAATCCGGAGACACTTCTCGGTCCGCAAGGTCGCACTTTGTAAAACGCGCATCCGGTTCGTCAACGTGCGCCGCCTGTAAAGAAAAGCATTCGATTATGCAATGCTCGACGTTCAAAGCCAAGACCGCTGCCGAGCGAAAAGGCCTAGTAGAAGCAAACAGATTGTGCTTCAACTGCCTCGGCAACCATTACTTGGCAAAATGTCAGTCGTCGAAAACTTGCTTCACTTGCAAGGCACGCCACCACACGCTTTTGCACGACGCATACTCGCAATCTGATGGTGCGATTTCCTTGTCCACCACACGCTTCGCATCAGACCGCAAGGCGATTCTTCTTGCCACCGCACGGGTCACTATCAAGGACCACGTGGGAAGACCGCACGACATCCGAGCACTGATCGACCAAGGATCAGAGGTCTCTCTAGTCTTAGAGGCCCTGGCACAACGATTGCGCCTGCCGCGGATCCGCTCCTCGATGACGATAGCCGGGATCGGAGGAGCCTCTGGAGCAACCCGCGGACGGCTGTCTTTGGCGCACTCCTCGGCAATAACTGGAGCAACGCTCCCCGTCCAGGCGTACGTCCTGCCGCATCTCTCCTCGTACCAGGGGCCCATCGTGCGAGCCAGCGTCACCTGGCCCCACATACGCGGTCTCCCTCTGGCCGATCCGCAGTATTTAGACCGAGATTCAATCGAGATACTGCTCGGTGCGGATGTCTATTCCGCCATCCTTCAGGATGGACTCCGCAAGGGAGGCAAAGACGAGCCCATCGCGCAGAAGACCTCTCTCGGGTGGATCCTGTCGGGAGGACACCAAGCCACGACCCAGAGTAGCCATGCCGCTCACCAATGCACCATAGACCGCCAGCTGACCGACTTGGTGCAGCTCTTCTGGGAGCAGGAGAAGGAGAATACCGTTCCCGTCGCTCTTACCCCGGAGGAGAGAAGGTGCGAGGACATCTTCGTCCGCGAGCACTCACGCACCACCGCCGGACGTTACATTGTGAGGCTTCCCTTCTCCGGAGCTCTACCCTCTCTGTCAGGAACCCGTCGGCCGGCCGAGCGTTTGCTCCATGCCATGGAGCGCCGCTGCGACAAGGACGCTCGATTCGGCAACCTCTACCGCAGCTTCATGAAGGACTACGAAAACCTGCAACACATGGAAGCTGTAACCACATCATCACAACAAGAAGATACTGCAAGGTGCTACTTACCGCATCACGGAGTGTTGCGAGAAACGAGCACCACCATTAAGCTCAGAGTCGTGTTCAACGGCTCACAGCTCACGACCTCGGGCACCTCGCTCAACATCAGTCTGCTGACTGGTGCCAATCTCCTGCCAGTTCTCGCCGACGTACTCCTGCGCTGGCGCTGGCACCGTTACGTCTTCTTGGCGGACATTGAGAAAATGTACCGCCAAATTCTTGTTCATCCAGACGACCGCGATCATCAGCGGATACTTTGGCGGCACCGTGCCGTTGACGACATCCGCGAATACCGCTTGCGAACGGTCACGTATGGCTTGGCGTGCGCGCCATTCCTCGCCATACGGACCTTACACCAGCTCGCCGACGACGAAGGTCACCGATTTCCACAGGGAGCTGTCGCGCTGCGCCGCGATACTTACGTGGACGACGTCGTGACCGGCGCGAGCACCCTCTCGGAGGCCACCGCAGCGCAACGGGAGCTCCGCAGCCTCTGCATGGCGGGCGGGTTTCCTCTTCGGAAATGGGCGGCCAACCACCTCAGCATCCTGGACGGCGTTCCGCACGAGCACCGGCTCACCCACTTACCTCACTCATGGTCTCATGAGAGCCACACAACGCTCGGTCTTCACTGGCACCCGGCCGGTGACCACTTCACTTTTTCACAACCGACACGTCACTTCGACGAACTTACAAAACGGCGTGTCCTGTCCGAAACCGCACGAATGTTCGATCCTCTCGGCTGGATCACCCCGGTCACAATGCGGGCCAAGATCCTAATCCAGGCCGCCTGGCTCCAGAAGATTGACTGGGACACTCCACTTCCATCACCGGACACGCTCGCTTGGCGGAACCTGCTCTCGCAACTTCCGCGCCTCAACGAGATGAAGGTATCTCGTTGGCTCGGCAGCGACGGTCCGCACTCACACGTCGAACTGCACGGATTCGCCGACGCATCGGAGCGAGGGTACGCTGCCGTGGTGTACCTCCGCTCCTCCACTGGAAGGGGCATCACACTCCACCTGCTGACCGCTAAGGGCAAGGTCGCGCCCGTGAAGCCCGTGTCCTTGCCGAGACTCGAGCTATGCGCGGCCGCCCTCTTGACGAACCTCGTCGTTCACACGCGCTCTCTGCTAAGTTTGTCCTCAGCTCCAGTCTTCCTTTGGTCGGACTCCAGGGTCACTCTTCACTGGATCCACGGACACGCCTCCCGCTGGAAGACCTACGTGGCCAACAGAGTGTCGCTGATCCAGGAGCGGCTACCCGAGGCGCGGTGGCGACATGTGCCGGGCAAGGACAACCCAGCTGATTGCGCCTCCCGAGGAATTCTGCCCAGCGACCTGGTCGGTCATCCTCTGTGGTGGACGGGACCATCCTGGCTTTTAGAGGACCAAACAAGGTGGCCGAACAACGACGGCGCCCTGCTCAACGCTGCTGTGCCGGAGCAAAGGGCCGTCGCCTCACTCTCGGCGGCTGTCAAGGACGTTTCTGAGTCGGCCTTCCTGCTCCGTTTCTCGTCATTGCACCGACTGCTCAGGGTGACAGCCTGGTGTCTTCGATGGCGACGGACCGGCACCCGGAGATCTCGCACCACCGCTGACGCCGCACTCTCACTCACGTCTTGCGAGATCGAAGACGCACTCCTTCACTGGATTCGCATCACACAGACTCTGCACTTCCTCGGCGAGATCACAGCACTCAGCAAAGGACGCGCCTTGCCAGCCAGAAGTCCTCTCACCAAGCTGAGTCCGTTCCTCGACGACAGCGGTGTAATGCGAGTCGGAGGGCGACTGAAGAACGCCATCCTGTCTCACGACGAGCGGCATCCCAGCATTATCCCACCGGAGTCACGGTTGACTCACCTGATGGTGGACTCCTGCCACCGGCGGACCTTGCACGGAGGAGTGCAGCTCACCCTCGGGTTGCTTCGTCAACGAGTCTGGATCCCACGTGGTCGAGCAGTCGTCAAGCGGGCGATCCACCGATGCGTCACCTGCACGCGGTGGAGAGCCGCCGCACCGCAACCACTCATGGGCAATCTGCCCCGGGAACGAGTGACTCCTGCACGCCCGTTCCTGCGCACCGGGGTCGACTACGCCGGCCCTATCCTCATTCGGGCCAGCAAGGGACGAGGCCACAAGGCATCCAAGGGCTTCATCGCAGTTTTCGTCTGCCTCAGCACCAAGGCGGTCCATCTGGAGGCAGTCACGGACTACACGGCCGAGGCGTTCCTGGCTGCCTTCCGCCGCTTCGTTTCCCGGCGAGGCCTCTGCAGCGACGTCTTCTCCGACTGCGGCACGAACTTCGTCGGAGCCGACCGTGAGCTGCGGGAGCTGTTCCGCGCTTCCTCTTCCGACGGCCGTCGGATAATTCACGCAACAGCTTCCGACGGTGTGAGATGGAGGTTCAACCCCCCCGCAGCGCCACACTTCGGCGGACTATGGGAGGCCGCCGTCAAATCCACCAAACACCACCTCCGAAGGGTCATCGGCGAAGCCACCCTCACTTACGAGGAAATGGCGACCCTCCTCACTCAGGTGGAGGCATGCCTAAATTCGCGTCCGTTGCAGCCGCTGACGGACGATCCCGACGATCTGGCGGCGCTAACACCAGGGCACTTCATCATCGGCGCCCCCCTCGTGGCCGTTCCGGAGCCGTCACTCACGTCCGAGAAGGACACCGCTCTATCTCGGTGGCGGCTTCTTCAAAAAATGCGCGACCACTTTTGGGAACGGTGGACGCGCGAGTATCTCAGCACTTTGGCGTCACGACCAAAGTGGACCAAGGACGAAGCCGGCCCGAGCATCGGCGACCTGTGCCTGCTGCGATCGGAGATCACGCCTCCGACGAGATGGCCACTCGCCCGCATCACGGCACTGCACCCCGGAGACGACGGAATTACACGCGTCGTCACCGTCTGCACCGCATCTTCGGAGTTCACTCGGCCACTCGCGAAGATCATCGTCCTGCCAGGAGACAACGCCAGGGCAGACTCATCACAACCGGATTCGTGAGCCCGCACAATCACACGTTCTTATTTCGTTTCTTTTTTTTTTGCTGCGGTTTCTCATTAATTCGTTTCACCGCATCGCACTTCACTCGCGTCACTTATAACCTCACGTACGATCGGCGGATAGCGTTATTAATTGTCTTCTCGCGATTTCTTTTTTTTTTCATTTTCACGTCGCGATTTCACGATCACTCATCACCGCACTCCACGTTTTGGAAATCAACCGCCAATACTTTTGCACATTGTACACGACATCACGAGTATGTTTCTCATTATTCACCATCACAATGTTTCACCAAAACGCAATACTCACTCAAGCGAAAATTTCAATAGACTGAATCACACGTGTTGTCACATTCCATTCATCACGCGCGATTCACAACTCACAAATCGAACTATTCATGACATCTGTCAGTACTTACACGCACTCATTCATTTCGTCATGTACTGACGAGGCGGGCGGGATGTTTGAAATTCATATTTCGCATGCATATCATCTCAGCTCATTATTACCGAAAACCGAGATTTTTCAAATTAACGGACGTCGAGAATCTTCTCGACGTTTCTATTTATAGAGAAAAAACCGATCGTTCGAGTTATCTCGATTTTATTGCCACCACAAAAAACGCTTATCTCTGCCGTTGACAATAACAGTGTCAACGGTCGCCGAAAACTGTACAGTTTACGGGCATGCGCGCCCATACGTCACGATCAGCTGATTACCAATCAGCTGATCTAAAAAGATCGCGCGCATGACAATTAACTCATTGTCAGCGGTAGACCTCATCAGCGGCCAATGACGCGCGGCGCCCTGAGGTCACCGCCAAAATACAAAGTTAATTGGGCCACGTCGATACGGGCCCAAAAATCTGCCCGGTATATAACGAGCACCGCGCGAGGACACGAAGAAGTCTCGCACTTTTCGCTCTCGCACTTTTCGCCAAACCGCACTTATCGCTTCGCAAACCGCAGTATTATTCGACCGCTTTTTTCACTCGGACTTTCCTCTCGATTACGGACTTGAACTAATTTTCGGCAATATTTCTCGAATTCTGAAATATATATATATATATATTTGTGTAAAACTTTATTTATCGTGTGGTGTTGAAAATAAAACTCTCAAAAGTACAAAAAAATCATACGTGTCGTGGCTTGTTTTTTCTCAATTGTGCAGTGTCCGAGTCCAAGACCTTTTCTGTCGCGCCTATCGTCTCGAATAACTCATTCGCGAACAATATATATATATATATATATATATATATATACATACAGGGTGATTCAAAATAACCCCTGTGTCCATGAAATGACACATTGTTGAGTCAATTCTAAGACGATTTTTCATTTTGCAAAATTTCGTCCGAAGCTTAGTTTTCGAAATATTAAAGAAAGAAGTTAACGCATGACGAGTTGGATACAAGAGGCAGGCAAGGGTGACGCGAGACCAAAGCTGCCAGATCTCCGCCGCAAGCAACATGCAACACGGCGTGGAGGGGGTAATGAGGATGTAAGCGTAAGCGTACGTGTGAGCTCGGCGCTTCGGCTAGCTTCGGATAGTAGAAGAGGACAGAATACAGTCTTCTGTCTCCTTCCTACCGAAAGACGGGCACACGCGACGCGTCACGCTCCACGATATCTCGATGCGCTCAATGTTTCTTTTACAGCATTTTTATTGTATAATGTGTTTAGAATATGTCTCTGTATATATATATATATATATATATATATATATATATATGTATACACATACATATTATAAACATATTATACGATAAAGAATAATATTTAAATAATTATAATATATTTGTATAATGTATATATATATATATATATATATATATATATATATAATATTTAATATATTTAATATATTTATAATATATATATATATATATATATATATATTATATATATATATATATGTATATATATATTATTAAATATATATATATATATATATTATATATATATGTATATATATATACAGGGTCTGTCCGGAAAGTAATGCGTCGCATTTTTTTGTGACGTGACTATACGTCGCAGTGCGTTCGGACCGGTTGGGGAGAGTGGGGGGAACCCTTAGCTTTCCAATGGTTGGTCGGTCAATTGTCTCCGTGCGCTTGGAGGGTTAGGACGGCTTTTTTTGTGAACGTTTACGTAGTAGTCGCGTCGAACTTATGATGGAGAAAACTTTAGAGCAACGCTATGCGATAAAGTTTTGCGTGAAGCTGGAAAAGACGCCGCTCGAAACTTTTGAAATGCTTAAGGAAGCCTTCGGGGACGATTGCCTTTCCAGATCGCAGTCCAACAGATGGCACAAGATGTTTAGAGAAGGTCGGAAGGACATCACCGACGAGGCCCGCGCAGGACGCCCGTCAACATCGCGAACGGACGATCATGTGACTCGTGTGCGCCAGTTACTGAATTCAGACCGTCGAATGAGTGTTCGCTTGATGTCGGAATTATTGACCTTGCCGAAAACGGTTGTTCATGAGATTGTATCGGAAGACTTGGCCATGCGGAAGATTTGCGCAAAACTCGTGCCCAAAGTTTTGACCGATGCGCAAAAGCAACACCGAGTGGAAGTGTGTAGAGAACTCAAGGAACTCTGTGAACATGATCCCAATTTCCTGGACAACGTTATCACTGGGGATGAGTCATGTATCTTTGAGTACGATCCGGAGTCAAAGAAACAGAGTGCAGAATGGCACACGACGTCGTCGCCACGCCAGAAGAAGGCTCGCATGAGCAAGTCCCGGATGAAGTCCATGCTCATTGTTTTTTTTGATGCAAAGGGGATAGTGCACCATGAATTCGTACCTACTGGCCAGACCGTCAACGCTCAATTTTACAAGGAAGTGCTTCAGAGACTGAATGACAGGGTTGCCCGCGTTCGGAAGGAGATCCGCGCTTCGTGGAAACTCCATCACGATAACGCGCCGGCTCACACCGCCTTTGTTGTCATGGCCTACCTGACCAAGATCGGTGTGACAACGTTGCCGCAGCCACCCTACAGTCCCGACCTGGCCCCGGCGGACTTTTTTTTGTTTCCTCGGCTGAAAAGGAACCTCAAAGGAAAGCATCTCGAGTCGGTGGATAACGTGCAAGCTACTACGACGGCTTACCTGAAGAGCATCCCGCGTGAGGAGTTCCTGAAAGCATATGACGCATGGAAATCGCGTTGGCAAAAATGTATTGATGCAGAAGGGTCATACTTTGAAAAATTTTAAGTTGTTTAACCTATCCGATCAATAAATTTTTTTTAAAAAAATGCGACGCATTACTTTCCGGACAGACCCTGTATATTATATATATGTATGTATATATATATATATATATATATATATATATATACATATATATATATATATATACATTATAAATATATTATACAAATATGAATATGTACTAATTATATTACCAAAATATATTATAAAACTATTTAGTATAGTAATTTAACTTGTTTCTCTATAAATATACATTTAAAATAATAAAATAAAGAAATTTAATGAGTGTGGCGATTTTCCATACCACCCATGGGGTATCACCAATGGCGCGTTAGATTTTTTTATGTGGATCTTCGCCTAGAGCCCTATTATACCATATTGTATTCATATATAGAAGATGGAGAAAAAAATATCTAGAAATAAAGGATAAAAGGAATAAAATATTGAATAAATAAATATTCTATAAATTATTAATTATTTTTTATTAATTATTTTTTATATTTCTATATCAATAATAATATCAATAATATCAATAATATCAATAATAATAATAATTTTTTATGACGCCCCAACCGCCTCCTCGGGCCCAACCGCCTCCTCGGCCTCCTCGGGCCCAACCGCCTCCTCGGCCTCTTCGGGCCCAACCTCCTTGACCTCGGTCGCCTCCTCGACCGCCAGACATGCCCCTGCCGCGCTGGGTATACCAGCGGGCACGAGCCTTGCCGCTTCCTCTTTTTTTAATTTTATTTTCTGAAAAATAAAACAAATTATAATATATATATATATATATATATATATATATATAATTTAATATAAAAAATAATGTACCATTTTGCTCCTGCTGTTGCACCTTCTGTTCCTGCGGCGGCGGCGGTGGCGGCGGCGACGGCGGCGGCTGCTGCTGCTGCTGCTGCTGCTGCTGCTGCTGCTGGTGCTGGTACTGCTGCTGCTGCTGCTGCATAAATATTTGCAGCTGATGCAACAAATGTTGCTGATGCAACATTTGTTGCATCAGCTGCTGCATCGTTGGCTGCGCAGCATCTTGCAGCACCAAAGCGTCCATCTCTTCATTAATATCTTCTATAAAATTATGAAGAAAAAATTAAAATAGAAATTAAAGATTAAATTATTTTTTAATATCTTTGTATAAATAATGATTTACTTACGAGACATGTTCGATCTATCGCCGTGCTTGGATGAACAGACAATGAGACACACTCGGCATTTGTTTATTTGTTTCATGCCGTTTAATTTGTTTTACGCCGTTCATTTATTTCGCGGCATTTATTTTCATCAGATAATCTTGTCGCCTTGTACTATCAAGTAAACGTATTTTTTTATACGTGCTCTGAAATCTTGGTGTTCAAGAACTGTCACAATCCCGATTTGTGTGTGAGTTCTGATTATTTCAAATTTCTATATATATATATATATATATATATATATATATATCATTTTTCATCTTCAGCTTCTTTAATTCTTTGTTTCTGTCTATTTTTTGTTTCACAAAAATGAGTGATGAATTGAAAAAAAAATTTAAGCGAAACTTTTCCGATGCTTGGCTCAATGATGATCGATATAAATCTTGGATACGCAAAGTACCATCCGACGATAGTCTTTATTATTGTAGTATATGCAATAAAAATTTTTCGTGCAATACACATATTTTAAGACATGCGGATTTTGCGTGTCATAAAAATAATATTAAAGAAAATAATTTAGCTTTAAATACTAATAATGTGTGTGAAAATAATAATAAAAATTCAGATAAAAAAATATC